CAACCTCACTTTCAACAGTTAAATGAAAAACGTTTCGTTGTCTTTATCTTAATCATTCATTTTATTTTACCTCCTTTTTCATGATATCCAAACATGACCCGCCAAACCGCTCTCCTTAACACCCGCCCGCTTAACCCGGAAGCCAGCCGCACCAATGTGTCGGAGGAAACACTGTTCAACTGATGACCGAAGTCAGTCTGCAGGTGCCCGGCCCGCCACAAGGAGTCGCTAGAGCACGATGAGCCAAGTAAAGCCCCCTCGGCCAAACCCTCCCCTGACCCGGACGACGCTGGGCCAATTGTGCACCGCCCTATGGGACTCCCAGTCACGGCCGGTTGTGACAGAGCCTGGGATCGAACCCGGATCTGTACTGACGCCTCAAGCACTGCGATGCAGTGCCTTAGACTGCTGCATTACTCGGGAGGCCTATCTTAATCATTATAATGACATCCTTGAATCATATAGGGCTAGAATTAGATGCAGAAGATTTTCACTTCACAAAGATTGAATGGTTATTGGTCTTAATAAATAACTGCTATAGCCTACCGCCATCACACGTTCGCTCTTCTTACTGTAGCATAGGCTATGCTATGCTCCATACTGAGATGGGTCTATCCCCACCCTGAACGTTGATTCATCATTTAGACATCGCATATAATTTAACAGTTCCATTTCATGCCATGCTGTTCATATAAATCATCTATTATAAATTACCGGTTTCTCGCAGTTATTTATCCTGGGAAAAGGAAGTGGTTTTGGGCGGTAAATCTCGGTAACCAGTTCCCGCCATTCAACCTAGTATCTACTGGTTATCTACATAGTATACTTAATAAATATTTATATGATCAACACATTAGTGATCACACACACACACACACCTGTAGGTGAAGACCTGGATGTGTGTGTCCAGCTTCCTGTGGCTTACTTTGCCTACTTACGCTGGGCTGTCACAGTGTCTCATGGAGGAAGAGACTCCCCCTCCGCAGGTCCTGCTACACTCCCCCCACGACGACCAGGGACCCCAGCCTCCGTCCACACTCTGGGGCCACGTCCCGAATGTCACACACTCCCCCTGGTAGCACCACTGAGAGGGGGGGGGGGGGAGGGAGGAAGGGGTGAGAGAGAGTGGGAGAGGATTAATCATTGGTTAAGGTTGTAGAGGTTGTAGGTCTGTAACTGTGTCAGTGAGTACGGTTACATGCACACAATAATGTGATTATTGTGGATAATCAGATTAATATAATAGTTTGATTTAAACGTTTTTCATTTTTTGCAAGAAGAACGATTTCCCTAATAATCCTGTTTACATGGACACATCTGAAATCAGGCTACCTGATGGCACTCTGAAAATTGCAGAAAATCGGCAATCAAAATAAACGTTCTACCACAGCGACCGTGTTCTTTTTGGGAAGCATATCTGATTCTGAGTTCGGACATATAAAGTTGGTATGTGAAAACTTCTAAGACACATATATTCAGTTGTTCCGAACTCACTTCACTCACGGTAAAGAGAGAGGCTCGCTGGGCTGGTGCTAGTACACACGCAGATCAAATACACTGCTGGAACGCCCATTCATCATTTGAAAGATTGCCTTACGCCGATTAAGATAAGCAGAGTAAAATGTTTGCATGACTATTGCATAATCTGCCAAGTGCCATAATCTGCTTATTATCGAATTATCACTGTGCATGTAAACGTACTCAGTGGTGCTCAGGGCTTAGAGACAGTAGAGGTTGTAGAGGTTGTAGGTCTGTAACTTTGTCAGTAGGTTAATATCCTGGGCCAGTGAAACACCAGGCCACTGTCCTCAGTCTCCCTCAATCCCTCACTCCCTCACTCCCTCACAACAGAGATTAACAATGCAGAAGGACAGAGAGAGGGGAGAGAGAGGGAGAGAGAGAGAGAACCAGGGCACTGTCCTCATTCTCCTTAGCTCAGAGCAGAGAAGGGTAATGCACTAACACACTGTATAAACAAGATTAACACTGCAGGGAGAGGGAGAGCGAGGCCAGAGAAGGAGAGAGAGAGAGGATGCAGAGAAGAAGAAAGAGGGAGAGAGAGAAAGAGAGAGAGTCCTCCTTAAGACCTTGTCTGTGTTTCCAGTTAGACTGAAATAGCCTGGGAGAGAATGTCTTATCAGAGAGGAGCTGACACACACTACCTGTCTATTACCCCACACACCTATCAGCCTTTCACCACCTGCAAGTGTGTGTGTGTGTGTGTGTGTGTGTGTATGTGTGTGTGTACCTGCGTGTGTGTGTGTGTTTGTACCAATGTCTAGGATAGTAGCATATAGTCTTTCCTGGGAAACCACATATTCTCTCTCTCTTATCTCCTTTATTCTCCTTATCTCTCTCCCTTTCTCTTTCTCATCCCCCATTCTTCCCTCCCACACATCCCTACCTCCTCTCTATCCTTCTCTACCTTTCGCACCACCAACTCTCTCCCCTTTGTCCCCCTCCCTCTCCTCCCTCCCTCTCCTCCCATCTCTCCCTCCCTCCCTCTAGTTGGCAGGGCCTCTCCATTACAGGCCTGGTGACAAATGGTTGACAGTCGAGTTCCTTTGAAGCCGCCCCTCATCCCCCTCACCACCCACCCTCAACCCAGACAGGAGCCCGTCATCAGCCTCCCCCCAAAGCCCCCTGTTCCAAAGCCCCCTGAGCTGATCTCAACTTGGGCCCCCTGTGTAGCCCAGGACCCTGTCGGTGGCCTCCGGCCCTGAAAGGCTCCAGTCAGCAGACGGTAATGACACACGACAGCCCGACAGCCTCCTATTCTTTCTTTTTAGACCTCAGACCATTCGGTGACAATGGCCGCCGTAATCTGTGTTAAAACTGTCTCACTGTCGGCCGTCTAACCTGACCGTAGCGTGGCGAGTCACACTGGGGTCAGTGCTATCTGGGATCCTTGGGACGTCCCTACCCTAAACTCTAAAGGCTGGTTTACAGTCCGTCTATCGACATGTCTGTAGACAATTGGTGTAGCGACATCATGAACATTCTATTGTCGTCCGACATCAAACTTGTCGTTGTCATTTTGAAAAAGTATAAACACAAAACAACAGCCTCTGCATGACATCAGCAGCCCGGGGCTCCAAATAGCATACTTTCTCTATTTTAACATCAAGAAACCCATCAGTTTAAAATGAATTCAGTAAATGTCAACCTAGCAAGCCAGGCAACTAAAAGCAATTTTCTAAACAATATTTTTGTTTGTTGCTAGCTAGTTAGCTAGCTAGTTGGCTAGCCAGTTCAAATAATGACCTGAGTATAACTGACAACGTCTTAACTTTAGCTACTTTTGATTAATTATTACAGGAAATAAACCCACAACAACATAATTATTTACAAGGTAATGGCGAGTTTACAGAAAATAGCTTACTGCCACAGTGTGACAAAATAAAAGTAGGTCATTCTATCTGAGAATTTTAGAACTCCTACATCATCTTGTCAGCGAAGAATTTGGTCTGGTTGCTGTGGCAGTCCAGCAACCACGACAACGGACATTGCTACAGTCGCAGAGACTTAAGGCCAGTTTATACTTGGTCTAACGACATGTCAACATCCGTTGTCGTGGTTACCGGAATACCACAGCAACCAGGCCAAATTCTCCTGTGACAAGATGATTCAGAAGTTCTCAAATTCTTAGGTAGAATTACCTACTTTTATTTAGTCAACTTCAATGGGGTAGGGACGTCCCAAGGATTCCGGATAGCCCTGGGACCAGAAGGTGAAGTGATGACCTCAAAGCATGGCGTGTGTGGCGGGGAAAAGGGGGAGGGGGTAATACATTGGGATACAATGGGAGAGGAGAGGAGAGAATGAGTCCTGCTAGGTCTGGCTACCACACACCTCACAGTAACTAGTCTTGACTCTGACACTGAGGCCCACTATGTGGGCCTACCTGCCATCACATCACCCAATAAAAAAAAAGAAAGAAAGAAAGAAAGAAAGAAAGAAAGAAAGAAAGAAAGAAAGAAAGAAAGAAAGAAAGAAAGAAAGAAAGAAAGAAAGAAAGGGGGGTGGTGATATGGAGGTGGGAGAGAGCTGAGTTGACTACAGGAGAGTGTGTGTAGACTACAGTATAACAACTAGTGTGTAGATAACAGTATAACAACTAGTGTGTAGACTATAAGAGATAACTAGTGTATAGACCACAAGAGATAACTAGTGTGTAGACTACAGTATAACAACTAGTGTGAAGACTATTAGAGATAACTAGTGTGTAGAGTACAAGAGACAACAAGTGTGTAGACTACAAGAGATAACTAGTGTGTAGACTACAAGAGATAACTAGTTTGTAGACTACAAGAGATAACTAGGGTGTAGACTACAAGAGATAACTAGGGTGTAGACTACAGTATAACAACTAGTGTGAAGACTATTAGAGATAACTAGTGTGTAGACTACAATAGACAACTAGTGTGTAGACTACAAGAGATAACTAGTGCGTAGACTACAAGAGATAACTAGCGTGTAGACTACAAGAGATACCTAGGGTGTAGACTACAGTATAACAACTAGTGTGAAGATTATTCGATAACTAGTGTGTAGACTACAAGACACAACTTGTGTGTAGACTACAAGAGATAACTAGTGTGTAGACTACAGTATAACAACTAGTGTGTAGACTATAAGAGATAACTAGTGTGTAGACTATAAGAAATAACTAGTATGTAGACTATTAGAGATAACTTGTGTGTAGACTATAAGAGATAACTAGTGTGTAGACTATAAGAGATAACTAGTGTGTAGACTATAAGAGATAACTAGTGTGTAGACTATTAGAGATAACTTGTGTGTAGACTATAAGAGATAACTAGTGTGTAGACTATAAGAGACAACTAGTGTGCAGACTATAAGAGATAACTAGTGTATAGACTACAGTATAACAACTAGTGTGTAGACTACAAGAGATAACTAGTGTGTAGACTACAAGAGATAACTAGTGTGTAGACTATAAGAGATAACTTGTGTGTAGACTATAAGAGATAACTAGTGTGTAGACTACAAGAGATAACTAGTGTGCAGACTATAAGAGATAACTAGTGTGTAGACTATTAGAGATAACTTGTGTGTAGACTATAAGAGATAACTAGTGTGCAGACTATAAGAGATAACTAGTGTGTAGACTATTAGAGATAACTTGTGTGTAGACTATAAGAGATAACTAGTGTGTAGACTATAAGAGATAACTAGTGTGCAGACTATAAGAGATAACTAGTGTATAGACTACAGTATAACAACTAGTGTGTAGACTACAAGAGATAACTAGTGTGTAGACTATAAGAGATAACTAGTGTGTAGACTATTAGAGATAACTAGTGTGTAGACTACAGGATAAAGTGTGTAGACCAGGGGTTCCCAAATCTTAGGGCCCGCGACCCCATTTTGATATCAAAAAATGTTTGCGACCCCACCATGTACAAAAAGTGAGGTAATCAACGGCCAATGTTTACTTTTTTAATTGGGGATATGGCAGTCTATTACTAATCAGTCTGACAGTATTTTTGACAGTATTTCAATCTGAAGACAGTATGGTGTGAAGTGACTGAAATGCATCAGAAAGGTATTGGGTTCAGAAGATCATCAAGCAATAATGTTGTATGATCTTTTGTGTAGAAAATAACATAATAATTGATGGAAACAGTGAACATGAGAGTCTTATCTTTCAGTGATGGAGTCATAATATTTGGTAGCTTAAACCATTCAAAAGATAGAGCCACATTTGTAGGAAGAAAACAGAAATCGCTCTGTTTATTACAACCGCATCTAGCAGCTACCGGAGGTTACTTACGTAACCCCGGTTCTATGAATCAAGCACACATTTTCTCTCGCGACCCCATTTTCAAATCAGGCGACCCCACATCAGGCGACCCCTGGTTTAGGAAACCCTGGTGTAAACTATAAGAGACAACTAGTGTGTAGACTACAGGAGAGTGTGTGTATAGACTATGATAACTAGTGTGTGTAGACAATGAGACTGCTAGTATACACTTACCCCTTTCTCAATGCTTCCCGTCTGACACAGGGTCCCCTCAGCAGCAGGGATACTGTTGGTGACACAGCGGTTGCTTTTGCTAAGGCACCAGAGCTCTCTACACACTTCCTAGGAAAGAAGGCAAAACCAAGTTGGTCAGAATAAAGCAATTCACTGCAGAGAGTGTATTACAAGCAGAGCAATTGCCATAGATAGGGCTGTGGAAGTGCCTTAGAGATCTACTCAAAAATGTAATGTGACTTCCCCTCCTCATCTCCTGTCCTTCATCTGCACTGAGGTGAAAGAGCTGAACAGACAGTGGGGAGCAGATACCTGGCTGTAGGCAGCCGCCATATTGCTTTCACCTGCAAGGATAGCAGACCTGGTTCAAATATAGGTTGCACTGTTTGGAGTCACTTTGGACTATTCCATAGGTTCCATTTCACCAGGCAAACTAACTCAAGCTCAGCTGAAATTTGTGGAAGTATTAGACATATGTATTTGACACAGATCTGATGGAGTAGCTATATATTTGACCCAGGTCTGATGGATTGAGCCAAGTTTATGTTTAGAGTCAATATCCCAAAGGTCAACCCATTCTACAAATGTCCCTCTGTGTTGAGGGATGAAGGAGTCATCTGGAGCAACAACACCATGACTAACACCTCCATACCGCAACATGGACCGGCTAACGTCGGTTCACCGAAACCACTGTTAACCAGTTATAGGAAATCACTCTGGCACTCACAACAGAGAGCATATCAAACGGCCCCTCAGAGAGGAGACAGTCTCAGGGAACAGAGAATGTAGACATAACAAAACATTTGTCCTACAGGAAGTTATAAAACAAACAACGTCTTCTGTTTCTACGATTTCTCCATCTTATCTCCTAGCTCTTATAACAGAGGGAGAACTCTTTATGTCTGGACAGAGAGAGTGAGAAGGAGAGAGAGAGGTAGAAAGAGAGAGAGAAAGCGAGACAGAGAGAGACAGAAAGTGAAGGAGAGACAGACAGAGAGAGAGAGAGAGAAAGAAAGAGAAAGAGAGAGACAGAGAGAGAGTGGAAGAAAAATAAAAAGAGCGAGAGAGGAGGAGATAGAGAATCCAAGTCAGAGTCTCTCCTCTGGAGTAAATTAAATCTTAAAACCGAGTGTTTATAACAAGGACAACCCTGCATTAGATTTCCCATTAAACCTCTATGGTTCCCCCTCCGCCTCTCCACTTCAAAGGCTTTACTGGACAACTGCGTACGGCAGAGCAGAAGAGGAGCAGTGCCATGAAGAAGAGTTACAGCCCTGTGCCAAGGCTCTGACCCCACGGTTCAGTAAATAAGGTCCAGGCTCCGCTGGTCTCTACAGGTCTCTTCTACTGCTGCTAGACGCTATAGATTAAATAAAGCTGCAAACTGCCACTCTTTGTCGGCCCTGTCTCGCTGCGCCACTCCCAGCTCTGCTTTCAATAAGCCCCCCCACCATTCCAACGTTTCTGCAACTACCTCCCCCTAACAAGCAATGTTTGAAATATGTTCTCTTATCACGGAGTGACCCTCACCCTCCCTGCTCTTTGGCCCCCTGCCGGCCCGCTCAGAGCCGCAGTAGCGGCTGAAAAGTCAGAAGCTAAACCAGGTCTAAATGAACATGTGTCCCTGGTCTGGTCTGGGGGATTTACGCTAGCTAGCTAACAGAGAGGAAGCTAACCCTAACCCTAACCTTTTTCCTAACCTTAACCTCACTCTCTTTTTACCTGCTACGTTAATTCTCCTAACCTGCTGCATAAGTTCTTCTAATATGAAAAAGTAAATTCCGGTCGTAGCTGTATTCCACCTAGATAGAACCCCTGGTGACTCCCAACATTCTGAGAGTGTCAGTTAGAAATTACCATTCAATTGCCCCTTCGCTAAGTCCCCCCTCCGAATCCGACACCATGGACAAGCTCACGTTTAAATCACATAAAATCCAGTGAGGGCTATGGCTAAAACGTTTTTTTTTGTTTTTTTATGTTGAAATGGCTAAATAATTTAACAGAGCACCAGAAGTACTTGCTACTGTGATTCCTGAAATGCAAAACCTATTGATGGAGTATTTTTCGTATCTGAAATTATACTTTTGTTACATTGTTTGCTAGCTCAGCTGGTTAGCTAGCTCTCAGTCTCATTGACCACCAAAAGTTGCTAATGCTAGCTAGCCACTTAAAATAACTTGTTTTCTCAAAATGTATGTTAGTTAGCTAAGTTAGCAATGCTATGAATACAACTACCATCTGCTGTCGACATCAGGATACATACAATTTGAGAGCACTAGTTAGCTCCAAAAGAGGTTATAGCTTTGACTGCATGCTGACAGTGAATTCAGAGCCATTCAGTGGCTAGCTACACTACCAATATAATTTGACCAGGTTACCGTGACGCAATTGTAATGACAGTATGCCACAACATACTCAAGAGTTTCCTGATTAGCAAGGGGAATTCTGTGTTTAATTTCATTGTGTATTAAAAACACAGTTTGAGATCATTGTGAGGGGATTTCGCCAGTGAATTGGGCTTCCCTGGAAAATGTTGACTGAGGTTGCAACAGAGCTTAGTGAAAATGTTTCAACAACAATTTCTCGGCTTCTTTTATACAATTCCACAGGAGCAAGCATTGAAACACTTCACCAAACCACTGCTATGCTGTCCGGTCCTTTCAGTTGGAACAACAGTCCAACCTATCCACTGGGCTTTCTGTCCCCATTAGAACATGTAGGGTAGGAGACGGTTGGGAATGGAGACCAGTTGAGTTTTACTTCCAGGACAGGAACATGTCACCACAACCATTAAGTGTAAGAGTGACTGTTAAGTGTTACTGCACCTCTCTTCCCCACCATATATTTTAGTTATTCTCTTCAGTCTTTAGTGGCACTAAAGCAGGCTCTGCTCTGCTCTGCTATGTGTGTTGTACAGAGTAACTGTCTCCCAGATAAGAGAGGTCATCTTTCCCCATAGGAGAACTCATTTTGGTTCCAGGTAGAACCCTTTTTGGTTCCAGGTAGAACTACCCAAAAGGGTTCTAAAAAGGGTTATTCAAAGGGTTCTCCTATGGGGACAGCCAAAGAACTAGATAGCACCTTTTCTTCTAAAAGTGTAACATCAACTCTGAAAGCAAACTATACATCTAGTCATAGACCTTTTACTTGTTTCTATGGTTACATGGCTCTGATCAGCAAGCTCTTAACTAAAGACAACTCTTTGCCAGACAGCTGGCAGGCTGAGTGAAACAGATCTGATTCCAGATCAGAATCCAGAATCCTAGCAGATGAAAGACTACATGCTAGTTCTGTGGAAGCAGCCCGGCACAGAGCAGCACAGCTGAGCCAGGCTCTGGAGGAATGCTCTCCTTTCATAAATGTCTGTCTTTCATGCTGATCTAAAACCACAATTAAGAGCTTAAGAGACAAAATGACAGGGTTTGATTTGGGGCCCGTGGTAATCTGCTGTCAGATATTTATTTCAATGAAACTAAATAAACTCTCTTGATCTCGACTAATGGTAGACTCTTTTATTGTCCATATTGGTTCATTAATTCTTTGTGGCTTTCATTCAACATCTCCTGTTTCTGTGGCTTGGTTTAGTTCTCTCTCTGCTTGTGTCTCTTTATTTACCTTGGGTTGTTATTCTGCAAGGTGGTGGGAGGGGGGGTAATCATTATCATTCCATGAAACTCTGGTGTGTGTGTGTGTGTGTGTGTGTGTGTGTGTGTGTGTGTGTGTGTGTGTGTGTGTGTGTGTGTGTGTGTGTGTGTGTGTGTGCGTGTGTGCGTGTGTGCGAGTCTGTGTAAAAACCTCCCTCCCTCCTCCCTCTCTTTGAGATAGGTTAGTGAGATATGCTGGGAGAGAGGAACATCAGACCGGTGAGTGTTGATGAGACCCATCTATCCCAGGTGCTAATAAAACAATGATGTCTCCTTCTGGTGATATGATGATAACACCCCTAACGATGATTATGATAATAACACCCTGATTATGATGATAACACCCTGATTATGAAGATAACACCCTGATTATGAAGATAACACCCTGAATATGAAGATAACACCCTGATTATGAAGATAACACCCTGATTATGATGATAACACCCCTAACCCTGATTATGATAATAACACCCTGATTATGATGATAACACCCCTAACACTGATTATGATAATAACACCCTGATTATGATAATAACACCCTGATTATGATGATAACCCTGATTGTGCCTCCTGTAGCTCAGTTGGTAGAGCATGGCGCTTGCAACGCCAGGGTTGTGGGTTCGTTTCCCACGGGGGGACCAGTATGAAAAAAATGTATGCACTCACTAACTGTAAGTTGCTCTGGATAAGAGCGTCTGTTAAATGACTAAAATGTAAATGTAATAACACCCGTAACCCTGATTATGATAATAACACCCTGATTATGATGATAACACCCCTAACCCTGATTATGATAATAACACCCTGCTTATGATGATAACACCCTGATTATGATGATAACAGCCCTAACCCAGATTATGATAATAACACCCTGATTATGATGATAACGCCCCTAACCCTGATTATGATAATAACACCCTGATTATGATGATAACACCCCTAACCCAGATTATGATAATAACACCCTGATTATGATGATAACACCCCTAACCCTCATTATGATAATAACACCCTGATTATGATGATAACACCCTGATTATGAAAATAACACCCTGATTATGATGATAACACCCCTAACCCTGATTATGATAATAAAACCCTGATTATGATGATAACACCCCTAACTCTGATTATGATAATAACACCCTGATTATGATAATAACACCCTGATTATGATGATAACACCCTGATTATGATAATAACACCCTGATTATGATGATAACACCCCTAACCCTGATTATGATAACAACACCTCTAACCCTGATTATGATAATAACACCCCTAACCCTGATTATGATCAACTATTCCCTTAACAGCATGGTCCTCCACTATAGGGGAGAGAGACTGTACGCATATTGTAGATTCGGAGAGATGCAGGTTTCTTACCCCATATTTGCACTGTCGTGAAGAGGCTCCGTACTGGAAGCGACACTGCTCGTCTGCGTCGTACACCTGCCCCGGGGCCACTGTTGGGTACAGGAAGTCTCGTTTCAGAGGTTCATTGTCCAGACACGTCCCCCGACCTGAGCTGTCAAAAAAACAAACCTACAATAGGATTGTTTCTTACACACCACACCTACACAGCATATAGCGGTGGTTCCCAAAGCTCTCCTTCAGTAGCCCCAGCAGTTCTGTTCCAGGTCTAGCACACCTTATTGGACTAACAAAGGGCTTGATGATTAGTTGACTTGTTGAATCAGGTGTGCTAGCGTTGGAATAGGTGAAATGAGTGGAATGGCTCAGGGAGAGGTTTGGGAAACAGGGGGCTAGGTATAGACGGTAGCTACTAGCTACTAGTATACACACTGCAGCCCTCAATGACTAGGAGAGAGTCACTGGTTTAGCAACATAACATAAATCCTTTCTTTTAGAGGCCACCTCTCACCCTATATTGTATACATTCTTTCACAATTTCACCACAATGACTTAAAATGACTTATGATGAAAATACAGTTTATGGCAACCCTAGTCACACTGTCTACTAACACGTGTCTTGTACAGTTTCAGTTGTGTGGCACTGCATCATTCACATCATTCCCCTGTCTGCCTCTAACCCTAACCCTATAGATAGAGTGAACCGGGAGAAGTCTGCCTCTAACCCTAACCCTATAGATAGAGTGAAGGGGGAGACGTCTGCCTCTAACCCTAACCCTATAGATAGAGTGAAGGGGGAGAAGTCTGCCTCTAACCCTAACCCTATAGATAGAGTGAAGGGGGAGAAGTCTGACTCTAACCCTAACCCTATAGATAGAGTGAAGGGGGAGAAGTCTGACTCTAACCCTAACCCTATAGATAGAGTGAAGGGGGAGAAGTCTGACTCTAACCCTAACCCTATAGATAGAGTGAAGGGGGAGAAGTCTGCCTCTAACCCTAACCCTATAGATAGAGTGAAGGGGGAGAAGTCTGCCTCTAACCCTAACCCTATAGATAGAGTGAAGGGGGAGAAGTTATAGAGTGAAGGGGTAGAAGTCTGCCTCTAAACCTAACCCTATGGATAGAGTGAAGGGGGAGAAGACTGCATCCAACCCTAACCCTATAGATAGAGTGAAGGGGGAGAAGTCTGCCTCTAACCCTAACCCTATAGATAGAGTGAAGGGGGAGAAGTCTGCCTCTAACCCTAACCCTATAGATAGAGTGAAGGGGGAGAAGTCTGCCTCTAACCCTAACCCTATAGATAGAGTGAAGGGGGAGAAGTCTGCCTCTAACCCTAACCCTATAGATAGAGTGAAGGGGTAGAAGTCTGCCTCTAACCCTAACCCTATAGATAGAGTGAAGGGGGAGAAGTCTGCCTCTAACCCTAACCCTATAGATAGAGTGAAGGGGGAGAAGTCTGCCTCTAACCCTAACCCTATAGATAGAGTGAAGGGGGAGAAGTCTGCCTCTAACCCTAACCCTATAGATAGAGTGAAGGGGGAGAAGTCTGACTCTAACCCTAACCCTATAGATAGAATGAAGGGGGAGAAGTCTGACTCTAACCCTAACCCTATAGATAGAGTGAAGGGGGAGAAGTCTGACTCTAACCCTAACCCTATAGATAGAGTGAAGGGGGAGAAGTCTGCCTCTAACCCTAACCCTATAGATAGAGTGAAGGGGGAGAAGTCTGACTCTAACCCTAACCCTATAGATAGAGTGAAGAGGGAGAAGTCTGCCTCTAACCCTAACCCTATAGATAGAGTGAAGGGGGAGAAGTCTGCCTCTAACCCTAACCCTATAGATAGAGTGAAGGGGGAGAAGTCTGACTCTAACCCTAACCCTATAGATAGAGTGAAGGGGGAGAAGTCTGACTCTAACCCTAACCCTATAGATAGAGTGAAGGGGGAGAAGTCTGCCTCTAACCCTAACCCTATAGATAGAGTGAAGGGGGAGAAGTCTGCCTCTAAGCCTAACCCTATAGATAGAGTGAAGGGGGAGAAGTCTGCCTCTAACCCTAACCCTATAGATAGATTGAAGGGGGAGAAGTCTGCCTCTAACCCTAACCCTATAGATATAGTGAAGGGGGAGAAGTCTGCCTCTAACCCTAACCCTATAGATAGAGTGAAGGGGGAGAAGTATGCCTCTAACACTAACCCTATAGATAGAGTGAAGGGGGAGAAGTCTGCCTCTAACCCTAACCCTATAGATAGAGTGAAGGGGGAGAAGTCTGACTCTAACCCTAACCCTATAGATAGAGTGAAGAGGGAGAAGTCTGCCTCTAACCCTAACCCTATAGATAGAGTGAAGGGGGAGAAGTCTGACTCTAACCCTAACCCTATAGATAGAGTGAAGGGGGAGAAGTCTGACTCTAACCCTAACCCTATAGATAGAGTGAAGGGGGAGAAGTCTGACTCTAACCCTAACCCTATAGATAGAGTGAAGGGGGAGAAGTCTGCCTCTAACCCTAACCCTATAGATAGAGTGAAGGGGGAGAAGTCTGCCTCTAAGCCTAACCCTATAGATAGAGTGAAGGGGGAGAAGTCTGCCTCTAACCCTAACCCTATAGATAGATTGAAGGGGGAGAAGTCTGCCTCTAACCCTAACCCTATAGATATAGTGAAGGGGGAGAAGTCTGCCTCTAACCCTAACCCTATAGATAGAGTGAAGGGGGAGAAGTATGCCTCTAACACTAACCCTATAGATAGAGTGAAGAGGGAGAAGTCTGACGCTAACCCTATAGATAGAGTGAAGGGGAGGAATTCTGACTCTAACCCTAACCCTATAGATAGAGTGAAGGGGGAGAAGTCTGCCTCTAACCCTAACCCTATAGATAGAGTGAAGGGGGAGAAGTCTGCCTCTAACCCTAACCCTATAGATAGAGTGAAGGGGGAGAAGTCTGACGCTAACCCTAACCCTATAGATAGAGTGAAGGGGGAGAAGTCTGCCTCTAACCCTAACCCTATAGATAGAGTGAAGGGGGAGAAGTCTGACGCTAATCCTAACCTTATAGATAGAGTGAAGGGGGAGAAGTCTGCCTCTAACCCTAACCCTATAGATAGAGTGAAGGGGGAGAAGTCTGCCTCTAACCCTAACCCTATAGATAGAGTGAAGGGGGAGAAGTCTGACTCTAACCCTAACCCTATAGATAGAGTGAAGGGGGAGAAGTCTGCCTCTAACCCTAACCCTATAGATAGAGTGAAGGGGGAGAAGTCTGACTCTAACCCTAACCCTATAGATAGAGTGAAGGGGGAGAAGTCTGACTCTAACCCTAGCCCTATAGATAGAGTGAAGGGGGAGAAGTCTGCCTCTAACCCTAAACCTATAGATAGAGTGAAGGGGGAGAAGTCTGACTCTAACCCTAACCCTATAGATAGAGTGAAGGGGGAGAAGTCTGCCTCTAACCCTAGCCCTATAGATAGAGTGAAGGGGGAGAAGTCTGCCTCTAACCCTAAACCTATAGATAGAGTGAAGGGGTTGAAGTCTGCCTCTAACCCTAACCCTATAGATAGAGTGAAGGGGGAGAAGTCTGACGCTAACCCTAACCCTATAGATAGAGTGAAGGGGGAGAAGTCTGCCTCTAACCCTAACCCTATAGATAGAGTGAAGGGGGAGAAGTCCGCCTCTAACCCTAACCCTATAGATAGAGTGAAGGGGGAGAAGTCTGCCTCTAACCCTAACCCTATAGATAGAGTGAAGGGGGAGAAGTCTGCCTCTAACCCTAACCCTATAGATAGAGTGAAGGGGGAGAAGTCTGACTCTAACCCTAACCCTATAGATAGAGTGAAGGGGAGAAGTCTGCCTCTAACCCTAACCCTATAGATATAGTGAATGGGGAGAAGTCTGCCTCTAACCCTAACCCTATAGATAGAGTGAAGGGGGAAAAGTCTGCCTCTAACCCTAACCCTATAGATAGAGTGAAGGGGGAGAAGTCTGACGCTAACCCTAACCCTATAGATAGAGTGAAGGGGGAGAAGTCTGCCTCTAACCCTAACCCTATAGATAGAGTGAAGGGGGAGAAGTCTGACGCTAACCCTAACCCTATAGATAGAGTGAAGGGGGAGAAGTCTGACTCTAACCCTAACCCTATAGATAGAGTGAAGGGGGAGAAGTCTGACGCTAACCCTAACCCTATAGATAGAGTGAAGGGGGAGAAGTCTGCCTTTAACCCTAACCCTATAGATAGAGTGAAGGGGGAGAAGTCTTACGCTAACCCTAACCCTATAGATAGAGTGAAGGGGGAGAAGTCTGACTCTAACCCTAACCCTATAGATAGAGTGAAGGGGGAGAAGTCTGACTCTAACCCTAACCCTATAGATAGAGTGAAGGGGGAGAAGTCTGACACTAACCCTAACCCTATAGATAGAGTGAAGGGGGAGAAGTCTGACTCTAACCCTAACCCTATAGATAGAGTGAAGGGGGAGAAGTCTGACGCTAACCCTAACCCTATAGATAGAGTGAAGGGGGAGAAATCTGCCTCTAACCCTAACCCTATAGATAGAGTGAAGGGGGAGAAGTCTGACTCTAACCCTAACCCTATAGATAGAGTGAAGGGGGAGAAGTCTGCCTCTAACCCTAGCCCTATAGATAGAGTGAAGGGGGAGAAGTCTGACTCTAACCCTAGCCCTATAGATAGAGTGAAGGGGGAGAAGTCTGACTCTAACCCTAACCCTATAGATAGAGTGAAGGGGGAGAAGTCTGCCTCTAACCCTAGCCCTATAGATAGAGTGAAGGGGGAGAAGTCTGCCTCTAACCCTAGCCCTATAGATAGAGTGAAGGGGGAGAAGTCTGCCTCTAACCCTAACCCTATAGATAGAGTGAAGGGGGAGAAGTCTGCCTCTAACCCTAGCCCTATAGATAGAGTGAAGGGGGAGAAGTCTGCCTCTAACCCTAGCCCTATAGATAGAGTGAAGGGGGAGAAGTCTGCCTCTAACCCTAGCCCTATAGATAGAGTGAAGGGGGAGAAGTCTGCCTCTAACCCTAGCCCTATAGATAGAGTGAAGGGGGAGAAGTATGCCTCTAACACTAACCCTATAGATAGAGTGAAGGGGGAGAAGTCTGCCTCTAACCCTAACCCTATAGATAGAGTGAAGGGGGAGAAGTCTGCCTCTAACCCTAGCCCTATAGATAGAGTGAAGGGGGAGAAGTCTGACTCTAACCCTAGCCCTATAGATAGA